TGTTAGTGGTATAAACTAGCGATTTCTTTTTACTTACTCAATGCCCCCATTACTAGCATTATACGCTAAACAGTTTTTAGAGATAAAACTCTTTACATTCGATTATCATGAAAACAAATTTCAGAGAACGGTTGACTATGTACCGATGTTTTATTAGACCAAAGGTTCATTGTTCGCCGGAGTTCTCCTTTAAAGAGATGTGTTTTTAGTTTAGATTTGAACTGACAGAGTGTGTCTGCTGTCTGACAAAAGTGTCTGTTCCAAAGTTTTGGTGCTAAATAGAAAAAGGATCTACCGCCAGCAGTCGATTTAGATATTCTAGGTATTATCAACTGTCCAGAATTCCGAGATCGCAGTAGACATGACGAACTAGAATGTGTTAAGAGCTCGGTCAAATAGTGGGATCTAAACCAGTTAGTACTTTGTAATTAATCAGCAATATTTTTAAAAAATGTATACAGTGTTTAATAGGGAGCCGATGCAGTTTTGACAGAACCGGGCTAATATGGTCATGCTTCCTGGTTCTGGTAAGAACTCGAGCTTCAGTATTTTAGACCAGCTGTACTTTGTTTATTAAGCGTGCAGGGCAACCACCCATAATATCCTTACAATAATCTAGCCTTGATGTCATGAACTCATGAACTAATTGTTAGGTATTTGTAATCGAGAGAATGTGACGTATGCCGCGTTCCAGGCAACCTGTAACCCGTGTTTTTCCAATCTTAAACCCGTGAAAGTGCACTGGAACGGCAGTCAAACCTGTGACTTCCCACCCGTGAACTCGTACTAGATCGATGTACTCCCAGTTACAAGTTCTGACATGGCCAGCGAACCTCTACAAAACTACAATAACAGCCCCTACGTATGCAGCGTTTCTGCAGGCGGTACACGGTGAGAATACACTTTAGGACAATATAACGTAACTAGTTTTCAGTCCATTGAGTGCAAGGATAAATTAATAGCCTACCAAAAACATTTCCAAATATACAAATAAAGTAAAATAAAAGGTATAATAGCTTATCTTGCCTCATGTGCTATTTTTCCTCCTCAGTTTCCCACAAATAAACAAGGAGTAAGCACCTTTTGCGTTAGACATTATTACAAATGCGCATGAGCCTCGTAAGGTTCGTCATGCTGGTTTGTTTACATCTAGCTACCACAATTCTTTGCGCTCAGGTAGTTTGGAATGACCTGCAATGCAACAAAGTCGTAAGTCGTGGTTTGAAGTCGTGATTTACATGCTCAAAAACCTGCTTAGAACACAGCAGTATTTTAGGTATATTTTTAAGATGGAAAAATGTGGTTTTACAGAAACATGACTTTCAAATGAAAGATTGGTATCAAAGAGCACACCCAATTAAGACAATTAAGCACACTTCTTTTCCACAAGTCTTGGTATAAAAAACAGCATTTTACTTTACACTTGTTTAATGCGATCTATTTTAACACTCTAATCTACGAATAACACTCTGATCTAGCTTGGGTGAGTAAATAAAACGTTTAGGGTCAAAGTAAAAACATCACTATAAAGTTAAATTGAAATAATAATAGTCCTTGCTGAAATTATTTGAGCTATTAAAATCAAAGACAAGACTCTTCATCACGTTTCAGTGACAGATGAAGTGAGGAGAATTAAATTCATTAAATAATCACACTGTCATAAGGACAACATTTTTGTGGCACCTTGGTTACACTCATTGTGCTACCATTCACAACTTCTGTTTCACAAACTTACCAGTGATTGTTTTTTTTGATTGAAGTTAGTCAGTGCCTCTTATTCCTACGAAACATAAATATTTAATCCATTAACCCATTCAACTTTACAGTTTTTTTCTATTGCTAAACCACAGTGGAGCACAACTGGAGCTACATGTGCAAAACTCTAACTCCAGTCTGCACAGCAGCAGTTCATGTGGACTAAACTCTAGATTGTTTTTCATTGCTTGAACACAGTTTTCAAAACTCTACACACTTATCCCATGACTTTAACCACAACCTGCACAACACTGTGGATTTACAGCACTTTGTTCAAATGCTAACACACTGCTGTCAAAACTGTGAACCACTCATTCAAAACAGAATAAATTTCAGCCTTGTGCCTTTCACACACTGCTGACGTTCAAACAATTTCAGCTGAAAGGCTGAAAACTTGTGGCCTAATGCCTGAGAGAGGCTGGGTTACAGAATTACAGTATGTACTTTTAGTTTCTATCTTTTTTTCTCATTGCTGTAATTCTGTAAATTACTACAGACTATTGAAGCTAATTTTCAATTGTTATGTTCTAAAAATGTAAAAATATCAAATGAAAGAATGTCACTGTTTTTTTTTTTGTTTTTTGTTTTTGAAGAAAATATTACTTTGTATGAAGTGTGAAATTGTTGAAACTGTAAAAATGAAAAGTTAGTATTTTCTGTATTGGTGTTTGATGCTAGTGTTTTTCCTCTCAGTGTGTTCTGTGTGACAGTGTGTGTTATCTCAGTGAGGGTTGTGCATAGTGTTGTGCACACTGAGCCTGTTTTGAGTCGTGTGTTAAGAGTTGCGCTCAGGTGACTGTTGGTAATGCAGACTGTAGTTAGAGTTTTGCACATTTAGCTCCAGTCGTGCTCACTGCCGTTTAGCAATCGAAAAAAACTGTAACTGAATCCCCCTAAAACATTTTACATCCATCTGTCTTGCTCATATTTGCTGATATGGACGTTTTGCATGACAGTCCGCAAGCGGTTCTGCCATCACAGATCAGCCGGACAGATAATTCACTCTGATGAGAGATTTTCCATATTTTATTCATGCCTGGCATTGTGCTAAGTGTCTTAGTTCTAATCTGCTGCTCACGTATTCATGACAGTCCTGCTATTCTTATCTGCATCTCACCCCTAGGGAGACCTGGGAAATGTAGTGCTATTGTGGGGTTAGAAAGCCTCAATATCCTGTACAAGGACAATAATGAGATTAACCTTTACTGAAACTCCTGTCAGTTCACTTGAGAGGGAAAGATTCAGGAGGAACTCTGCGGTAATGTGGAGCAAAGGAGGGAGATTGTTCCTGGAAAAGCATCCCAGTGGTGCTGTGCGGTGTTGTGGTGGGCTGACTGGAGTGTGTGTGTGTGTGTGTGTGTGTGTGATGAATAAATAGTGTGGTCTGGTATTTCTGGACATTTTCAACCAGGTTTCGGCCAATATTAGAGATGATAAAAAGAAATTATAGACAAAAAACAAAAGTTTGCCCACCTTGCTGTCTTAGTTGTAGATGAGATACATTTTCTGATCCTTTTTTGTAACGTTTATGTTCTTAACCCATGTAACCCATGTTGTAACCGTTGTGTATATGTCAAAAATGGGAATATGCTTGTTATATATATGAAGAGTTCAGATGCAAAAGCCTCTCATTGCCATTTGAAATTTTCTCCTAGAATGATCATTTTTTATCAAGCTTGTATAGTTAAGTTCAGTAATTTCACTTAAATGACAATTAATAGGTAATCTTCATTGCAATTTAAGTAAAATTACTGAACTTAAATATACAGGCTTGATAAAAATGACCATTCTAGAAGAAAATTTCAAATGGCACTTAGAGGATTTTGCATCTGAACTCTTCATATATATATATATATATATATATATAGTTGTGTTTGAGGAAAACATGAAAATATACACTTACAAATTTCTGTGAATTGGAATACATTTATAGATATTGTGGCTTATTTTGTCTTTTCTAACACCTGTCACTCTTTTCATCTTATGGAAACAACAGAACGTACAGTACATTTGTTTTTCTTGGAACAATAAGTCTAAGTTCGTTTAATTGAGGCCTGAGCTCAGAGGGAAAAGATATAACAGGGGACACAAGAGCACATAACTTCAACCCAGTCATCACAACTGAGAGGAGCTCTGCCCCACTGCGTCTACTGAAACACACAAGATCGTTTATCATCTGCATCCCAGACAAAGAGAGAGAGAGAGAGAGAGAGGTCACAAAACGCAGCAGAAAAAAAATCTGTTAGACTATGGATGAAATGCAGAAAGTTAACACTCAGCAGAAAGACACAAATGCCTGGGACTTTAGCTGTCAGTGTATGCTTTGATCGTTGAGGCTTCTGGGATGTCAGCTGCTCTGTATGTGTGTCCGGCAAAGCTACACATATAAGAGACCACCCATCTAGAAGATAAGATTAAGGAGATAAACAGTTTGGTGAATGTCGGGACAATTTTAATGTGAGCAGATAGGATTTTAACTCGAGAAAAGTGATGTTGACGCTCCCTCTAGTGTCTGCTGTTTCAAATCGAGACATCTGAGGTTTTTCAATTGTCCCACTGCTTTTTTATTTTAGGCATATAATGTGAATCTGGGAATCTGTATCTGTGTTTTATTGATTTATTTTATATTGGGGTATGGATATTTGCATTAACAGTTCATGAAACCCTCCTTATTTCAGCACTGGTTCTTCACATCACTGCAAGAAATAACTGAAATTGTCAGCTATTATAAAGGTTTTTTTTTTAGTTTTACAATGTCTATTTTGAGAACATTAATATAGTAGAGCATTTGTTACATTTTCACTGTCAGTTTGTGGTTTGGGTATGTTGGCATATGATTTTGATTTGAGGGGCTATCGTCGCTCCCTGCTCTTATCCATGCTAGGCTGCATGGATGGGCAGGGAGTTATTGCCCAGAATGGAACCATATCACCAATCCAAACTGTATGCTAATTGTTAATCATCTTTGTCAAGATTGTTCCTGACAGAAATTACTTTAATAAATGTAAACATGTTCACTAATATTGAAATGGACCAAGTTTTTCCAGGTGCTATAGACTCATTATCTGTATATGTCTTCCTCATTTACCCCGTGTCATGTTTGTAACTGGGTAATTTACATGTTCATTTAGCAGACAATTTTACCTCAAGTGACTTCTAAATGAGGGTCATTTCATTGATTTCATTGATTTCAAAGGAGAAAATATGATTAATTTGATGGATGTTAATTATTTGTGTTTCTTCAGGTGTGGTTCGGGTGGATTATGGGGATGTTTCATCTCGGAAGGCCTTGAGGGAAACTCTGAAGTGTAAACCCTTCTCATGGTACCTGGAGAACATCTACCCTGATTCTCAGATTCCACGCAGATATTACTCACTCGGGGAGGTACGAGACTTTCATTGCTTTCTTGGTCAATATGGTCATTAAAACAGGTCAAATTAGCATGAAAGTACAATCACATAAAATCGCAGAAGGAAATGGAAAGTTCTGAGCATTATCTACTGACGACGTGTAAATTAAAGTACACAGACACAGCCCGATCATTTCCATAATGACCAACGCAATTTGCCAAGGGCAAATGAGCAAAATGTGGATGGTAAATAATGAAGCAAATGCCAGTATATTGACTGCCGCAAACCGTAATAAATCACCTTTCATAATCAATTTAAATACTCTTCTCCAAATTTTGCGTCTGAAAGGGAAACTCCTACAATTGCATATGCAATAAGGTCAGCCGTAAAATTAACTTGTCCACGCCTTAATTTTTCACTGCATGTCTTTTGTAAATCCTGACAGAAGATTTTTTAACACCAAAAGAGGGTATGCGCTAGAGTAAACTGTTAGTAAATGGCACTCAATGTGCAGGTTTATGTGTGTGGTTATGCTGAAATCTCTGCAATATAAAAATGTATTAATTAATTACATTAAATTTAATTAAATTAAAAGAATATTGCAAAGAATATTATTTCTTAAATAAAAGAATATTGCTCAATCCTCAGACATTGTCCTCTTGTTAATAGATCAGAAATGTTGAGACAAATCAGTGTGTGGATAACATGGGCCGTAAAGAGAATGAAAAGGTTGGCTTCTTCAACTGCCATGGAATGGGCGGCAACCAGGTAAGAAAGCTGTGAAGTCAAATCACATTTATTTATATAGTGCTTTTTACAACACAGATTGTTTCAAAGCAGCTTTACAAAGATAACAAGAATATAATGCAACAAAGCTTGTTTCCAGAAGAAAATAGCTTCACAGTCCAGCTTAAGTAAGTTCAGTGATGTTTCATTTTGTTGTAAAAAAGTTATTAATTTAGTTAATTTATATATGTAGCCGAGAAAACCGTGATGTTATCGTCCAGCTCAGTTCAGTTCTCATATAATGGTGTGAATGCAGGCAGATCAATATTATTGTTGAATATTAAATTAAATGTCCCCAACTAAGCAAGTCAAAAGCCAATGCCAACAATGGTGAAACAATGGTGAAACAATGGTGAATAAAGGCGACAAAATTGAAAAAGGCGACAGTGGCAGGGAACCGAAACTCCATCAAATGACAGAATGGAGAAAAAAACCTTGGGAGAACCCAGGCTCAGTTGGAGGCCAGTTCTCCTCTGGCCAACAAATGAACAGTGTATGATTATGATTCAGGCAGCATAAGGCATAAGTTCATAGCACAACTAAATAATGCCACAACACAACAGAAATGTTCCCAACCACTAGAGAGCTTTTGAAGCACGGTAAAGTTAGTTCCTTTTCGAGGGAACTCAACACTGCGTCATTGAAAATTACTCTTTGGGGACGCTCCCTAAGCGTGTGCTTCTGAAGTATGAATGAAACTAGTCTAATCCTGATTGGTGTTGCGTCGTGACATAACATTTGACGGCATAGACATCAGCTTTCGCTCTTCAGCAAGCGTTCTATGTTACGACTGTCTGTCTTATTTGGTGTTGTTTGTCTGATTCATGTTCATTCTGGCCAGCGGACAGTTTAAGAAGTGTGTGCACCCCTGCCCTCGTTTCATTACGGGTGGGGACACGCATGTTCTGTGTGTGAACTATTCGGGAGTGCAGCACGCCCAGGCAGCTCTTGAGGGAGCTGCCTGTGGAGACTGTGAAGCACTACCTATGAGAGTGCTGCGCTCCCGGCTGGCGTGCTTTGACGAGCATGGTCAGGCTTGCGTTCCCTACGGCTCTGATCCCGCACCCGTTGAGGTGGCGCGGTGATTGAGATTGTGGGGTTCAATCTCAATCTCAGCTATGGAGGCCATGGAGAGGCATCTGTGGCTGTATTTGTCAGGAATAAAAGAAAAAGACAAATCCTTTCTGCTTGAAGCGCCGCACTCACCTTCTGGCCTGTTCGGCGACGCCGTTACATCGGTCGTTGACAGGTTTCAGGAGGTGAATAAGCAATCTGCAGGGTTTCAGCAGTTCCTCCCCCATAAATCTAAGTCTAAATCGAGTAGGGTGAGGCAAGGAGATCAGCCGCAGCCATCAGACAGCTCCTCGCACCACGCGGAGCAAAGGGAGAGGGTTTCCTCTAGAGCCCCTCCTCCAGGAGCTTGGCAACAGAGGAAATGCTCCCAGCAGAAGACCTCCAGCCAAAGGGGCAACCTGAGGGACGTCCTTCAGGCTAGGAGGGCTTCGGGAAAGAGGTCCTAGCCGGGGTGGTGGGACCTCTGAGGGCTGCCCCCCTCCACTGCATAGCAATCGATGTTATTCTCGCAGCGGAGCCCTCAAGGAAACGATCTGGGTTGCCCACCGTGGTGACGCTTCAGGCCACATCATTTTCCAGCGAATGCACTCCGCGTCGTTTTTCTCAAAAAGATGAGCATCAGTTATTGTCACGAAAACCGTATCCACTACAGCCTGCCAGTCTTCCGCTTCAGGGGGTCGAGAAGGGTGCTCGAAAAACACCAGAGGCCAGTCTCGAGAGATTGGTTTCCTGAGTAGATTTTGTAGAGGCATGGTATCATCTTTCCAACATATCTGCATGAGTCCTGCATATAATAAAATCAGGGTACAGACTGCAGTTTGCGCACTGCCCCCCAAATTTTCTGGGGTGGTGCAGACTACAGTGGTTCCAGAGCAGGCTCAGGTGATGGAACAAGAAGTGCAATCTCTGCTGTTAAAGGAGACCAGAGAACGTGTTCCTCATTCAGACAGGGAGTCTGGGTTTTACAGCCGGTACTTTATAGTTCCAAAGAAGGATGGGGGGTTGAGGTCGATTCTAGATCTCAGAGTTTTGAACCGGTCTCTGAGGAGGTTCAGGTTCAAAATGCTTACTATTCCACGATAGATATAAAAGATGCCTATTTTCATGTATCCATCCTTCCATGTCACAGGAGGTTCATGAGGTTCGCTTTCGGGGGTAAAGCTTACCAATATCGGGTTCTTCCATTTGGCCTAGCACTCTCTCCCTGCAAATTCATCAAATGTATGGATGCAGCACTTGCTCCACTGATACGTCAGGGCATCCGTATACTGAATTATATCGACGACTGGCTAATTCTCATTCTTCAGATTATAATTTCACTCCTGATAGCTCTGCCATGGCAGATTCCTCTGAGGAGGCATCTGTTGTCTCAGGCGGAGGGCTGGCCTCTCAGGGGGTTCAGTACCTAAATGCTGGTCTATCAGCCGGGGTGGTTGAAACCATATTTAGCTCTAGGGCTGCGTCTACTAGGAGATTATTTGGCCTCAAGTGGAATGTGTTTGTCACTTGGTTTAGGGAACATGAGTCAGATCCAGTTAACCTCCCGGTGGCTTCAGTTCTAGAGTTTCTTCAAGATTGTTTCTCTGCGGGTCGCTCCCCTTCCATGCTTAAGGTGTATGTGGCTGCCATTGTGGCTTTCCACGCGCCATTAAGTGATGGGCCTCTGGGGAGGCACCAGTTGGTCATACATTTTCTAAGTGGTACTTGGAGGATGAGACCGACAGCCAGTCGGCTTCGCCTAGGGATCTTACGCTAAAAATGGTATTTCTCTCAGCTATTACCTCTCTTAAGAGGGTAAGAGATCTCCAAGCCCTGACTGTGACACCAGCTTGCTTGGAGTTTTCCCGTGGCAGAGTTAAAGCCTTTTTGCATCCGAGTCTGGGCTACATGCCAAAGGTTCCTACTAATACGGCTCTGTCCACAGTCCTTCAGGCATTCTATCATCCGCCTCATGTGTCGGCAGAAGAAGAGAAGGTTCATTTGCTCTGCCCCGTCAGAGCTTTGAGCGTGTACCTCGAGAGGTCTTCTTGAAGGAGGTCGGACCAATTATTAGTGTGTTTTGGGTCACCTAAGAAGGGGCTCCCGGCATCCAAGCAAACCATGAGCAATTGGATTGTTCAGGCTATTACGTTGGCTTGCAAGGTGCACAATTTGCCTTAACTTTTGACCATAAGGGCTCATTCTACTAGGGGCATGGTATCTTCTATGGCCCTCCTTTCCGGAATACCAATCCAGGAGATCTGTGAGGCAGCCGGTTGGGCTACCCTATTAGGTTCTATAGTCTGCACCTCCCTAGTATGCCTGGCGCACATGTGCTCTCGTCCTAGCTGAGTGCCTGAATCAGTTTCACTCCGAGGCAGGCCTATTCAGTGCATGGCCTACTGGGCATTCTTTCCCCAAAGAGTCGTTTTCAGCGACACAGTGTTGAGACCCCTCGAAAGGGAACGTCTCGAGTTATGACTATAACCCTTGTTCCCCGAGAAGGGAATGAGACACTGCATCGTCCTGCCACACCCCTCAAGGCCTTAGAGCTTCTTGCTTCATCGCGAGGCTGATTTGTGTGTGTGTCAGCGTCACTTTTATGCATCCGGTTATGCCGTCACATGTTACGTCATGACGCAAATTCAGTAATACCGTCGAGTGAGATTTCCCAGTTATCATCCACCTCTTTGGGGAGGTCAGTCTGGTATGCCTGTAATAACCCCATTGTGTGTAGGCATGCACACGTCTAGTATCAATGCAGCAGCAGTTCCCTTACGAAAGGGAACTAACTTTGAGAAATCACAAGTAAAATTGTTAAGGAATAAATGCATAAAGAGTAAGGAATTTCAGTAAAACACTTTACGGTAAGGGTACATGAATTATCATGAATTCATGTATAAATTAATGCATGAATTATGCATTCATTCATGCATTAATATCTCATGTTCAATGTTTTTCATTCATCATGACTTCATGGATGAACAACACCTTGATTAAAACATAAACTAAGATAAGCACATCATCATGAATTATGATTTATGACGCATGATCATGATGTTTTCTTTGTTCTTTTGGTGTCTCTCCAACTTAGTCATCATTAACTAAGCATTATCTATTAATTAACTTCATCGCGTGTGGCCCCTAAACTAAAGTGGTTACTAGGTCACTGACCTAGACAAAGAACAAAGAAAACATCATGATCATGCGTAATAAATCATTATTCATGATGATGTGCTCATCTTAGTCAATGTTTTAATTAAGGTGTTGTTCATTCATGAAGTCATGAATGAAAAACGTTGAACTTGTGTTAGTTCCTGATGATTCAAGAGATATTAATGCATGAATGAATGCACAATTCATGTACCCTTACAGTAAAGTGTTACCAAGAGATCTGTACTGATGACCTGTGTCTGGATGCATCGCGGCCTACAACGCTCTGAGAGCCCTCTAGTGGTTGGGAGCATTTCCGATGTGTTGTGGCTTAATTTCGTTGTGTTGTGAACTTATGTTTGCTTTTTAAATTTCGGCCCAGATCTGGCTGACTACATCATGCGCTGTGGTCGTGTTCACGCACAGGACATTTTGCCAACATTAACCATATCATCTCAAAACTGAACATTTGGATATAACACAGTCTCATCCCAAAAAGTCATATAACTGACGTTTTGGGACGTATTTTGACCATACGTCAATATTCGCCTTTTTAGGGCCCCCTTAAACGTCGGTAGATGGCGATCCCGGGCCGTCATACAACTGACGCTTTACCTTTAACGTCAGTTAGGTGACGGGTTAGGTTTAGGGTTAGGTTTAGGTATGGGGTAGAGTTAGGATCCCATAACCTCATCTACCGACGTTAAATGGGGCCCTAAAAAGGCGAATATTGACGTATGGTCAAAAGACGTCCCAAAACGTCAGTTATATGACGTCTTGGGATGAGACCGGGTTGTTGGATATTAAAAAAAAAGAAACAATAAGGATACACTTAATTTTAGAATAATGTGCTGGTAGCTCTTTTTTTATGCAATTACAATGCACAGGGATTGAGGCCATCAAAGAATGCACAACGAAAGTATGATTAAAGTCAATCTTCTGAAGTAATAGAATAGCTTTGTAAGACAAACAGACTGACATTTAAAGAGGCCGTTTGATGCTATTTTAAAAGGTCATTCATTCATTTGTTGGGTGTACTAGAATAGTTAACATGCTTTAATGTTTAAAAAACAACAGTATGTGAGAGAATAACGAGAGTTCTGGTTTCTACTAAGCCCCTTCTTCCGAAAAGCTCAGAGTGTTCTGATTGACCAGCTGGCCCAGTGTGCTATGATTGGCCAAACACCTCAAGTGTGTGTCAAAAATGTAATCCTCTTACCGAGTTTCGCGAGTTTCGAAGCTTCCAAGGCTTCTAAAGCAAACGGTTAACAATGTTATTGGTTTTACCGTAACAGTTGGAGCCTGAGTTGGATTTTGAAAATGAAGCTAATCAAGCAGATCGTTAGGAACTAACACAAAAACGGCACGACATGGCAACAACACAATGGCCACATCGCTAGGTCTCTCTTGCTGTCTGTCTCTGTCTCATGAACATTGAATGGACAGCTAGGCAAGATGTCAAGATTTTAGTGAATAACAACTTAAATTAAGATACTTTTATGGTACTGTACTTTTGCATCTTTTTAACTTGAAAGCCCACTGTTTGGCAGAACACAATTAAATAAGAATCACAAGTAAAATCGTAAAGGAATAAATGCATAAAAAGTAAGGAATTTCATTATTATTAACACAATTAATTCCCAGTTGATCAACCTGTTTACAGGTGTTCTCATATACTGCTGATAAAGAGATCCGTACTGATGACCTGTGTCTGGATGCATCGCGGCTTAATGGACCTGTTGTTATGCTGAAGTGCCACCACATGAAAGGAAACCAGATGTTTGAATACGATGCAGAGGTACATATTACACCGAATATACCTCACACAACAACCACATCACTCTTGCACACACTGAAGTCAATGGAACAAATACTTAAAAAAATAGAATAATATTATATAAGGTATAGTGTATAGTTAACAGTAAACCACATTTGGTTTATACTGACTATACTCACACTAGGACATCTAAACCATGACCGAGCTCGTTTGACCCCAAAGTTTGGTTCCTTTGGCTAGTGATCGCTCCATACCGTGCCGGGGTGTGGTTCACCTAACCGTCCCTGTCCCGCTTGGAAGAGGTGGGCCAGAGCACTGTTCAGTCGGGCTCGGGTGCGGAACGCATGTAGTGTGATTGCCAACCGTGTTGGAGAACTGAACGTTTACTACTCTTTTGTGCCCTGCAGCTCTGCTGTCATCATTACGACAGCAAACACCTTCTATTACTACTTTGACACGACAGTACACTTTTCAATTAATTTAATCACAGCATTAAATTTAGGATTATAACGGGTCTGGTTCTCACATTTGGTGAACTTTATTTATGTAGAACTGGAAATGTAGTTTGCGAGTAAAGCTGCAGCTGCCTCCATAATAATCTTCTGATACTTGCAGTGCAATCAAGTGAAAATTGCTACGTGGCATAAATGATAAATCTATTGGTGTGATGCAGTGGAAGAGTCCCAGGACTCAAGTTGTAAGTTTGAGCCTCACAAAGATCATACAGAAGGAATGCTCATCCAAAAATGAAAATTTGTCATCTTTAATTTGATTTAAATATAACTTTTCTTCTTCCCTTCTGCTATAGCTCAAAAATCTCATTCTCGCTTCTGCATATTCGAGCTTGCAATGTATTAATTATTCATATGACACATTCGTCGTTCACACGCTCACATATTTATGGAAAGAAAAAATATATATAAATGAAAATGTTTAGTCATTTTTCCATATTAAACATTGTCATTGCCCTGCTGTCCACAACGATATCACATCAGACCTTCAACTAGTTGAAAAGCTTTTAACCACCAGATGGTGCTGCATATCATATTATTATCCACCTTGTGCGCTCCTTTATTTTTGTAGTATGTCATGTTTTTTCCTTGTCTGGAGCAGAACTGTGTATTTGAGATGCTGTACACTTGCTGCTGGCCCTGACAATTATTGAAAGCTTATTGAAACTATTCTTTGTGTGCATGTCTTAGTATGTTGGCAAATGGGAGTATGACTTTAAGGTAAGATAATCTGAATTGTGTTTTGCTGCGTGTATTCTGGTGGTGATGTTTGTGATCTAGACTCCAACTGTATTTGAGTGACATTGTGAATGGTTTAGAAACACACTTGCATAGATTCATATACAGACTTGTAAGCCGGTTTAGAGTGATGATATAGAGGAATATATTTGTTTACTATACTGCCGTATAACATCTCCTCTTAGCCTCCGTGGGCATTGATTTTCAGTGAATATTACAAAATCAATATCTGAGATTCATTACAACATTCTCAAGATATCAAGAAACACATTTTACAGACGCCACAACTGAATAAAGAAAAAGATGGAGATCTTTGATCTTCTGTTAATATAACAGACACTTCTTTGTCAGCTAGGTCGATTGTGGTGCTTATATATCAAAATAAATGAGTCATTTAATTAAAAAGAAAACATCACACTTGAGTCGTAAGGGCAGCGCCGGCCCGAGCCTTTTGGGGGCCCTAAGCAGAATTTGATTTGGGGGCCCCTCCCACGACGCGGAGTCACCTGTGTTTGACGATTATTGACATAAATGTCACGCAAAAATGATACATTATAAATGAATACACTGAGGTTATGTATTAATAAAAAAATAGATGCCTACTTAAATAAAAAAGTTTGAAAACAGTCTTAAAACTGTCTCAAAACATATACAATAAATTATTTGCTAAAATTATGACAAAACTGAGAAATTAGAAACGTAAGAGCAATGATACTTTGGCCTATCCTCCTGGGACCCAGGAATAGACTTTTGTCCACTGTAGTGGACATTATTTTTAGTGTATTTCTCTGACACCATGCATGTCACATTTTTTTCTGGATGTCCTGTAAAGAGCACATTCAGGGCAATACAGAGATAGCAAATGTTTGGAGGTTTCACCATGAAAACAACTTCTCCTTGGTCTTTAAAAATGTCTAACATTAATTTAGTGATCAAATGTATAGCACTCTTATTGAAATATGGTAATATATTGTAATTATAATTTAAATCTAACTACTTTTCAAATTGTATTTCATCAACCAACATCTCATGAAAATGTTATGGGGTTTCAAATAAAAAAAAATGACTTTCCGTTACAGGGCATTGATTTCATTCATGTCCACTGTAGAGAACATCAGGACATAAATCATGTTTATCAGGCATTCGGGGAGACATAACAAGTGAATATGTAAATAAATTATACGTCAATATTCTTATGACATATTAGATATTATTATTAAAATGTTGCTTATTATTACGCCAATGCTTACACTTCTTTCCTCATTAAATGTTGCTCCAAGAACACATTAATGTGCAAATTAGATACAGTGTATAGATACTTTGCATTGAATGGGAATATTAATTTATGCCAATTTTACCCATATATTGCATAAAGTAAATTGGTGTATCAATTAATTCCATTATATCTTTCATAACATAGTTGATAATCATCTTTATACAAATTTTAGTTAAAAAAAATCCTGAAACCCCAAAATGTATTGGTGATTGGAAAAAAAATCCCATTGTTTTTGCCTACACATTGTATGTCATTTAATTTTAACAACTGAGTCCTGGTGTCCACTACAGAGGACAAAGTATTACATATGAATAAAATATAATTTTTCAAAAAGTTTTTTTTTTTTTTACCATTTGTTTATTATGCTCTAAACAATGTGATGACATGAAAAAAAACTAAATTAAAAAAAAAACTTTCTGGGTCTCAGGAGGCTATTGTTGAAAACTAAAAATAATAATAATAATAATAATAATATATTTTTATTGTAAAGCACTTTTCATAGTTAAAAACAATCCCAAAGTGCTACAGAGTATAAACAAAGATAAAAACCAGGTAGAAAAATATTACTAGCCTATTTCTCAACTGTCTCAATACAGAGTAACTATCCTCAAAATCTTTATTATTGTTATTATTATTATTATTGTAACAGACTTTGTTATATAGTTCATGACATAATCAACACAGTCTGTTACTATAATACCGGTTATGATGTTCTGGCGCTCGTTGTATGTGTGTATGCAATGTATTTTTCCCCTCGGGCTTGCCGTAGATGGGTCGTGCGCACTTGCTAGGCTACTGGAGTGTCGCGGGTGTTTTGGAGATCTGATGTGTGGTATAATAAAGAGGAGAAGAGTTCAAACTGCTATGTTTATTATTTATTCACACTGCTACCCTTACACCGAAGGATAAGTTCTCCTGCGGGCTATTTTCTCCAACTTAAACCGATACCGTGACTAGGCGCAGTTGCGCACGAATTGTCTATGCACGCGCGAGGTGTCTAGAAGATTATGCGTATGACTTAAACGCTGGCAGACAGAGCAGCAGTTGTAACTTGTAGGCAGGTATATTGACCATTAAATCAGAATTTTGTTGTCTTGAACTATTCATTCAGTCATATTCATTCATTCATTGATTTTTGTCACTTGTTTAAGTCATCTAAAAAAATAAAAATAAAAAATAACCTCGATTAGGGGGCCCCCTGGTGGCCAGGGGGCCCCAAGCAGCCGCTTAGTTCGCTTATGCCTCGGGCCGGCCCTGCGTAAGGGACATTGGTGCCGAATCTCAAAGGGGCGCAAGAAATCAGAAGCATTTAAAAATAGATCTCCATACCCTCGGTGGCTTTGGTTTTAATGTTGGACACAGACATGAATCCAGTGTTTAGTTTTTACCTCTAAATTGCCTCTAATGCAGGGCATTGTATTTGTTCCAACTCCTGGAGACTTGTGCTGCAGGACTTTAGTCCTATAAATGATCGAATCATAAAGAAAGATGATCTTGACATCATTTCACATCCTAGAATTCGCCACCATTAAATTGTGATTCAGTTTCCAATTTTATCCATAGACTACTCGATACTTGGCAACCAGAGAGACAGACATCTGCTTTAAAAATAGCTCTCAGGTTTTTCTCACTGCATGTGGAAAAATGATGATTTTGGTTTACTGAGATCTCATGTTCTCAGTTTTTGGCACTGTTTCCAATTAGCTATTAAAAACACCTGTTTTAGAAGAAAAAGAGCCATTAACTCAGCATTGCTAAGTCAGCCCCATTACAGTTGATTGCTGTCATTACGAGACAACAGCAAATACAATCTATACACCCACACTTATTTCCTGACTTTCCAGCCCTACATTTACATTTCAACATCTGACCTTTTCCCATGACTCCTATTAGTGTGTGCCCTTGTTTAGAACGTCTCTGTGTGTCTCTTTAAAACATTCAAATGTGATGTTTTGTCCATGTCAGTTCAAGTACCGCTGTCATTAAAGCAAATACATTCTGAAATTCATTCACATTTTTAATTATTTATTATTATTATATTATTATTATTATGATAAAAATAGTAGAATATCATTTGTGGTCACAGTCTCTTTTTATTTCCTTTTCTGAAGCTTAATTGCATGTTAAAGGAGTAGTTCACTTTTTTACGAAACCTTTTGCTGATAATTTACTCACCCCCATGTCATCCAAGATGTCCATGTCATTCTTTCTTCAGTCGAAAAGAAATTAAGGTTTTTGATGAAACCATTCCAGGATTTTTCTCCATATAATGGACTTTACTGGGTACCAAACGGTTCAAGGTCCAAAAGACAGTTTCAGTGCAAACTGTTCAAAGGGCTATAAACGATTCCAGACGACGAATAAGGGTCTTATCACGCGAAACGATCGGTCATTTAAAAGATAAATAACAAAGTTTAAGTTTTATAAGCTCAAATGCTCGCCTTGCTCTGTTCTGTTACGCACGTTCATTACTCTCCTGTTCGAGCTCGTTCATCAAAATGAACAAATCTTTTTTCGAGTCATTTGGCTTATTGTTAGTCATTTGGCTTTAACGAATTGACTCGAAAAAAGATTTGTTCATTTTGATGAATGAGTTTGAACAGGAGAGTCACACAGAACAGAGCAAGGTGAGCATTTGAGCTTATAAAACATAAACTTTGTTAATTATTTTCTTAAAGGTTCTATATGCAACTTTTTTTTTATAAAATTAATCCTTTTTTTATTGCCTGTGTTTGAAGGGGTTGTAATCACACATTGCAATGATCCACTTTTTCGCGTTTTGCTATTACCTCTGAAGGCCAATATTCATATTTATAAGAAAGGTCTCCGGGTCGGATTTCCTGCGAAATGCATCAGATGTGACGTGCATGCGCGCTCCCGAGCCTCTCTATCCTTCCAGTCAACCATGTCTCTATCCAGTCTCTATAATATCAACCATGCGACCAACGGCACTTCAGCTGGCGACATGGAGTCTGATAACAGCCCAAAACGTCTTGCCTCCAGTACAACACAGACTCCAAAACATGACATCATGACTTTTGCGTAAACATATACGCCACTTTCGAGTCAGGTGGCGTGTTATCTGCACGCATTTTGTGCTATCCGCGTGTATCCGCGTGTATGTGTCTACGCCACTAACGTCCGCGTCATTCCGCGTGTCTGAACACGCAGTCAAATCTCCAGTCATAAATGCCATTAACCCCAGTGACGGTTAAGTTTAGGGATGGGGTTGAGGTAAGTCATATCTTTTTTTTACCTAGGATGGTAAAGGAACAGTCATAAATGCCATTAACCCCAGTGACGGTTAGATTTAGGGATGGGGTTGAGGTAAGTCATATATTTATTAGGGCTGTCAGCGTTAATGCATTAATCGCGATTAGTTAAAAACAATCCATAACGCGTTATTTTTTTTAATCGCATTTCAAGGAACGCGTTTTTGTCCCTTTGGCTAGCCCGTAGTCAGCCCCTTTGGTTTGTGAAGCGGTAAAAAGTGATGGATAGAAAAAGTACGACCGGATTTTTAAACAGCCTGTTTAACTAAAAAAAAAAAAAAAATCAGACGGTTCCGTTGACAACACTAAGGTACAATGCAGCATTTGTTTCAAGGAGTTCAGCTACCATCGGAGCACGTCAAGTCTAAGTTACCACCTCCAGGCCAAACACCCCGGTGTTTCATTTGACGCTTCCCGGCCAAGCAAGCCGCAGCCTCGCCAGAGAACTATTCCTGAGTGTGGGCGTCGCAGCAGACCCTTGGATGAAAATAAGTTAACCACAGCGATCGAATTTACTACTAGTGTTAAATATCACTTGATTGCTGTTATTGCTAGGAATTGTTTTGCTAATAATGTTATTGTTTATTTTTGAAGTAGGTTAAGAGAGTGGCCTGATAAATGTCATCTCTCAAAGTAAGCACTGCGTTACTTTCCCAGACAGCAAACTGACATTGAATCAACGTGGAAACGACGTCTCTCGTGACATTGAAACAACGTTGATTTTGCTAATCGAATTAACGTTGAACCAACGTCAGACGCGGCATTCTTCAAAGCTAAATGAAAATCGAAAATTGGTTTGCTTTCATAACGTTGAAACAACGCGTTGATTTCAAGGTGATTTTCCGTTAGTTTTAAAAAGAATGACGCGTCTGACGTTGGTTCAACGTTAATTCGATGAGCAAAACAATGTCAGATCAACGTTGTTTCGATGTCATATTTCCACGTTGATTCAATGTCAGTTTGCTATCTCCTCCTAATATTTGGAAGTTGGTCTACATTGCACTTTTTTTTTAATAAAAAATGTTCAAAAAGGAAATTGTATGTGTTCTTTTGATTCCCGAAGAAAATTTTGGTAAGATATACTACATTATGGGCTTAGAACTGTCTTGATTTGCAAAATAACAGAATTTTACACATGCAAAAAAAAAAAACGCGATTAATCGCAGTTAACTATGAAGCTTCTGCGATTAATTGCGATTAAAAAAATTAATCGTTTGACAGCCCTAATATTTATATAACGTTAAGTCAACGGCGTTCATAAACACGCTGAAAGGCGATTATGCGTCTTGATAGCACGCCAAAAATGGAAATACGAATTGGCGTCTCATACACACGCTACTTCATGAGATCAGTCTGGACTCCAACACAAACTCCACATAAATATAAAAAACTAAAAAGTTTTATCTGCCCAAGCTCGTCAGGCAAAACGTGAATCTGATCGACTCCGGACGAAAACGTGGATCAACATAGTAAACTCTAGTGAAATAGCAAGGTAAACTACATGAAACATGACATGAATGCAAAAGAATGTTCCAGGATAACAAAAAGTCGGTGCTTTAGGATGTAACTTATTTTATTTACTAGATCTACTGACTAACGTCACTCATCCCACTACTATCATATTGTTTATAATACACATTTCCAGACACGTTCAGTACAGTAATGTTACTTCCTACGATCTCACTGATACAATGAAACTGTTCAGTTTAGTTCACTAACCGTTTTCGTTATCATACACTGTAAAAAATGATTTTTTTGGTTAAGTAAATACTAGTGAAAAAACCCAATGTAATTTACTTGAAAAAGTTAGGTCAGGCAAGAATTTCAAATCAGTACTTATTTCAAGCGAGTATAAATGAAAGTGTAATATCAACTCAATAAAATTAAGTAAAAATTACTCAACTTTTTTAATACTGGGGTTCCCATCATGCACTGGACCTTGAATAATTAATGAGGTTCATTTTTCACTGGTTTCCAGCTGTATTTACACTGTTTTATCATTGATTTTTGTTTTCAGTATTAGTAAATTGCCATTTTGTGACATTTCGAGTACATTTTTTGCTTAAAACGACACATTCAAACACAAAAACGATCCATCAAATGTTACCACCATTGTGTATTGTCTATCAAGTATTGAGGTGTTTGCATTCACATAAGGCTTAAAGTCTGACATGATGTATATATAAATTACTTAGATGATCCAAGTAAAGAACATACTATAAATGACTAATAAAATTCAAGATAATTGTTTTAGTGAAGTGTAATGCAAAGGCAAAGGAAATCGGTATTAATCAACCTTTTACAAGCCGAGTTAAAATTACTTATTTTTTGTAAAGTTTACTTAATTCCACATTCCAAGTACATTTAACTTAAAGATTTCTAATTAAAGCTACTGATAAATATGTTTAGGTTTTTACTTGGCAAATCTTTGTAAATTTACTAGCATTTTCTGAGTGAGATCGTTTAGCAAGGTTTTTTCAAGTAAATCCTACTCCAAATTTTTTACAGTGTATATTATACATTCACCTATGTTGGCATTGCTGATTGTGAAAGATACACGAAAATAGTTAGTGAAATGGCTTATAACATCACATGTCGGCTAAATGGAGTTTATTGTAACATTATGATCATGGTACGAGCACAGAGCATTAGTTCAACGTCAAGATGATAAAAGTAGACTATTATTGTACCTGCAGTGGAAGTTTACATTAGTTTCCAGCATGTTATGTGATTATTTCGCCGTTGCGTTGAAAGTCTCCGTGTTGCCGGTAGTGACTGCTCGCTCTTGAGATCTAGCACGCACACGAGCACGAGCACTAGCACTCTTGTTGCATTCTGAAACATCACCACTAGAGGCCGCTAAAAATCGCATAGAGCACCTTTAAATGAGTGATCGCTTCGCTTGATAAGACCCTTATTCATCGACCTTGAACCGTTTGGTACCCAGTCCATTATATGGAGAAAAATCCTGGAATGTTTTCATCAAAAACCTTAATTTCTTTTCGACTGAAGAAAGAATGACATGGACATCTTGGATGACATGGGGGTGAGTAAATTATCAGCAAAAGTGTTTTTTTTTTTGTTTTTGTTTTTTAAGTGAACTACTACTTAATTGCAATTCAATAAAAGTTATATGCAATTAGCAGTGCATCATTTTATTTAGTATTAACAGTCATTTAAATTTTAAGAGACTGGGCCATGTTTTGAGCTCTTTTTCACCAGTACCCAAACCTGGTTTATTGTCATGTTACATGGGAACCATCAGAAACGCACCTTCCTCCACATCATCACCCAGTCGTGTCTAACCATCAGTCGGCTGGAGGATGGAACGTACGGCCCAACCGTGGAGTACTGTGATGATAGTCCCCTTCAGGCCTGGACCCTGCGCAACTTCACCAGACAGGAGGTCTTTAAGAAGCTCTACTACAGTCCAACTGATTACTTTCTGTAATTACCAGAACGTCCTGTTGATGGCAGGTCAGTACTGAACGAGTCAGAAACCCAATCCACAAAAAGACCTTAGAACAATTCCTTTGAGGTGATGAGTATTTAGGTAGGCAACCCATAGTTATTAGAGTTGTCGTGGAGAATGGTGTCCTTTTGACCACATGCACATATTTGTTGAAATATTAGGCATATCTGTCTTGCATATGATTCTGGATTTATTTTGAGTGTTATTTTATTTGGTCTGTCTAGAGTTTTTGAGCTTTGGACATGTAATGATTTTATGTATGGACTGTGCATTGGAAATTTGAAAAGGCTACTGCTGAACTTTTTTCACCAGACATTTGGAGATCATGATGAGGGATATGTCTCAGTCAATATTCAAATGAAATTTTGACAAAAATGGGTTTGAAAAGTGTATGATTCCTACATCAGTAGTTAGTTACATCATTTCTTAGGCAATCTCCGATCAGCAGCTGTGGTTGCCAGAAATTTACTGAAAAAAAAAAAAAAAATGCAAGCAACATTTTTGGTATTACGGATAGAATTTAAATTTACTGTAAAAAAAAAAAAAAAAACGTGGTATCGAATTTTAGTGCGATGGTCCACTTAGAAATAGACATTCAGTTTATTATTTTGTCATTATTGAATAACTACACAAGAACAAATGAGTAACACATATTAACATTCTAATTACTGCTATTAACTAAGAAACTCTGATTAAAGGGATACTTCAGGATTTAGCATTAAGCTTTGTAGTTAGAAAACCTGTAGTATTTTCAAATTACTATGCTTTCCACCCTCATATTCCCCTGAGACGAGAGATATATGTATTTTTTGTCTGGAAAAAAGGATTTTTTGGCCAGAGGCTAAAGACTACAGTCAGTAGTAGGGTCTTTCCCGCTTGTTTTCAACCCGCCCAAAGAGGGTGGGATCTTCACTCACAGAATGTACACATTGTGTCAGCCATCTTTTTTTTAGAGGCTAAGCTACCAGGCTCTTGTTCTGTGGAGAAAGCT